CAAATTTTGTAAATCATGGCTGTAAATCAATCATCTACCTTTTCAGAACAATTTCGTAAGCTCGAATCAACACTTTGCGTTTTGGCACGCAGTCAAGACAAATGCAAATTTTTCCAAGAATATGACCGGAAGAGATCAGTATTGCGAACTCAGTATCCTGGAGTCCAGGCCTTCCCTTACTCTCTCCCTCCCACTCCCCAAAGGGCCTAAGAGCTATCGCGCGCAATAATTACTACGTGTCTAATATGTGTCATGTAATGCTGCGCAAAACTGTGGCGCAACGCGGTAGCACGGAGTTTAAACTCGGACTTTCTCGAGAGACGGACGAGAACCAGAAGTTGAATTTTCTCTTCTTTGGTGCGTATTATATATAAAATTAGAGCTTTTCAGCCCATTCGTTGAGGGTGAATATGCGCCAAAAGTTAGAACAAAAAACATTCCGGTTGTCGTTCTTGGTGCAAAAACGTCTGTGCACTCTCTCGCGAGGCTATAGGAAGATCTGGCTAAAATCGGGCAATATTCTGCAAGATTTTGCATGGAGGATAAATGTTTTTTTTTTAATTACCAACAAGTCACACTTCAACAGCTATAATAGAAAAATGTCATACGAGTCTCCTTGAGCGCACAACTACCATTAGTAAGCTCATAAATCAGATGGAATATTATTAAGAATATCATACAAATAACTCTAAACCGTAATTATCTCTAAGGTATTTTTTTATCATCATGAATTTTCACATCGTGTCACCTTTGCTAGAAGGATTTTGTCATTGTAGGGAGGCTAAGTAAAGAGGGGGGCTTAATTAAGTAATAGAAAGGGGGCTCGTTAAGAGAGAAAGGGCGTAATCAGTTATAGACCTTTTACCGATCTCGCCTGGTATAGAAGTGTTTCCGAAAAAAAAAATTTAGCTCCCAGAATATATATACTTTTTTTTTCATTCAGCAATAACGCAAATACCTACAGCAGTAAAATTAAACAAGTGTGTGTACCTCTTAACTACCTCATTACTTTACAGACATAAAAGTTAACAACAAGCATTTGCAGAGATATGATATGCACTATTAATAATAAGTCTTGTTCTATTTCACAAGTTTTACTCACTACACATAGCGATTATATTACAGCAACAGAGTGTCCTCGACAAACTGTTCATATCTTTGGTTCCGTGATCTTCAAAACACAATCTTGGCCGTTTCTGATACCAGTGATGAACAACTTGTTATCGTCCACTCGCGTCACAAGCAGTTCCAAGGTTCGATATTCCTTCAATGGATCCTTCTTCTCGCTTCCTCCCTCTAAGTGAAATATTTTTGGCGGATCGTCGCTGTCATCATTGACCCGGACGGCATACTTGTAGTTGGTTCCGACCTTTTGAGAACGCGTGATGATGTATTCTTTGAACTCGAGATCTGAAAATGGACAACAATTCAGTTTTAAAATAAAGAAACGATATATCTCTTGTCCTGGCAAACATTTTTCTATCATTGTTGCATAGAGGAGGAGGCGGCGTGGCCTAGTGGTTAGGGTGCTGGATTTGTAATTCGGAGATCCCGGGTTCAATCCTCCTTCCTGCCAAAGGATGGATTTGTGTTGGATGGATGTGTGGCGGTCCCAGATTCAACTCCGCCACGCTTTGTGAATAGCCAACTGGTCAACCTCCCGCCAGTTGGGATTTTTAACAAGTTTCTGTTTAATTTACAATATCTGTTTGCTCATTTCAGTGTCCCCAATAAGTATAGTAGTGCTAAACACTTTGGCACTTAAAAAAAGTGATTTTATTTTATTTATAGCTTATAATTAGAAGTTTGAGAAAATTCTGCTCAACCTTTCATTGTGGGCAACGTGTACGCTACGCTCGATAAGCAGGCGTCACAGGGCCTGAAATGCATATCGTTTGTCCAACCTTAAGATTGTTACTACGATTATCAGTTGGGTAAGGCGGGACGAAAGTTTGGTCACCAAGTTTTAACGTAGAAATCCTGTTGTTGTCACGAGCAACTGGCTCCGTATAACTTGTCGGCCTTTGACGTCATTGACAGCAAAGGGCGCGAAATTGTAGGCGACAGGCGATGCACGGCTGTTGATACTGTTACCAACGGAGACTAGGTAGGTTATCCGTGACAACACCATAATTTTAAGGCCAAAACTTCGTAACAAACTTCCCTCGTGCCTTACTCAACTGATAATCGTAGTATATTACTTGTAACATTCTGAAGTGTAGCAGCTTTCGTAAGCTTGTATTTCTTTTGCTTTCTAGCAGCTGTTATTGTTTTGGGGCTAGCTAGCGCTGGCATTGTTTCTGTTGTTTGTCCTAAAAGGGTATGCCCTTATGGGGTACCAAACCATTCATGTGAGACCTTACGAGAGCTGCTGACCGATCCGTAACATTGCGCGGGAAAAACCCATTTGCGTCATCGCCTTTTGATTGATTTACAAATAAAATGGCGGGAAACTGACGCCATAAAACTGAATCAACGCACGCGATCGCGCACCTCTGTTTCGCACTCGGCAAACGATTCAGTCTCAAATGAAAGCACGAGAAGTCAAAGTCCTTCGTAACATCCTTGTTGATTATTTTCTTAATTCCCATCACCTGTCTGTTGGACAACGCATTTATATCACAATGAGAAATTACATGTTAATCTCATTCAAATGACTCCTTACCATTACAAGATTGCGCCTCCTGCCAGCATGTGGTCGATAGCTTGTCGATTAGACTCATATTCTTCAAAAACACCTCTGTGAAGAGATAAAGCATTGATCGATGACAATCGATCTCGTCAACTTACCACAAGACAATCTTCTTTCAAGGTTTGTTATGGTACTACCATAAAATTCAGAAAGTAACGATCCTGGTTACTTTCGGAATAAGCAACCTTTGGCGCTCGCTACTTTCGAGCGACGGGGGGTCGCTACTTTTGGGATTCATTAGAAGCCACGTGCAATGTTTTTGACTTTAATACACATTTATTTTCAGAATTTACCGTACGTCACCATCTCAACCCCATTGGGCAAAGAAAGACTCCAAGAACGAATTTGCCTCGAGGATTTTGCAGTCTGGTCTCCTTTGATTGCTATTGTTTGTTTGTTTGTTTGTTTTGGAGGACTAGGGGCATTGTTATTATTGTTCATCAGAGACCGTAAACAATAGAGCACGTTTCATAAATTACTTTATTATTACAGTAAATTTATGTTCTGATGAAATTACCGATAAATTCAAATAAAGGCGATCATTCAAGCCGTATTAATTTCGCTAGCTAGTTTACTCAGTTACCATGCAAAGTAGCCCCTATGTATGTAAGAC